TCCCATTTGAGTATATCAAGAAGCAGGCTCGAGCTAGTCCCATAGTTGGCCTTTAAAATTACTCTAGCTGCACGGTTCTGTAACTTTTGTAATTTGTCACTCAGTTGATCACTTAAGCCATCCCAAACAAGGCTACAGTAATCAAAGTGAGGTTGAATTAAGGAGTTATAGACTAGTACCGCAGTAGATTGGGAGATAAGGGGCCTAATACGTCTAAGGGCACCTATAGCCGAAGTTACCTTCTTACACAATTCGTTAACATGATTAGACCAGGAAAGCCGATTGTCAATAATGAGACCTAATGATTTTGCGTGATCAACATTGCTGATAACTTGGTCTTCTAGTTTGATGTTTATTTCGTTATGGCTTTCCGCGAGAAGCTTCTGGCGAGCCAATTACCATAAACTCGGTTTTCGCAACATTAAGACTAAGCTTATTGGCTTTTAGCCAACAGTGAAGGTTCAGTAGTTCTAAGTTAGTCTCTTGTTCAAGGTCAGCTAGAGAGGAACCAGAAATGGTAATAGTTGTATCATCTGCGAACATTTTAGCGCATGCTGAATTAAGGCAGTTTGGAAGATCGTTTATATAGATTAAGAAGAACAAAGGACCGAGAATACTACCCTGTGGGACTCCGCATCTTAGTTCGCTTGCACTGGACAATACGCCATTAACATAACATTTCTGGCTCCTGTTACCTAGGTAGGAGGCAAAGAATCGTAGGGAACCCAGATCAAGTCCATAGTTTGCAAGTTTATGTAACAAAATTGCATGGTCAATGGTGTCAAAAGCCTTTTTAAGGTCGATATATACCACACCATTTAAAAGGCCGTTATCTATGTTAATAGACCAGTTGTTCGTTGATTCAAGTAGCGCCGTCATGGTGCTATGGAGCGATCGAAAGCCGGATTGATAAGTATTCAAATGTTTGTTTTTATCTAGGTAATCGTAGAGTTGTTGATAGATAATTTTCTCGAATAGCTTTGAGACAATTGGCAATACAGAAATTGGTCTATAGTT